TTGAAGAGCAAAGATGTCAGTTTGAGGACTAAGTTGTGCTGATCCAAGCTATGGTATTTTCAATAACCTCATATGCATGTGAAAGTTGGACAGTGAATAACAAAGACAGTAAAAGAATTGATATATCTGAGTTATGATGTAGGAGGAGAATATAGAAAGTACCATGGACTGCCAAAAGAACAAACAGATCTGTTGGAAGAAGTACAGCCTTGGAAGCCAGGATGGCCAGACTTCATCTCTCATACTTTGAACATATTACCAAGATAGTCCAGTCCCTGGAGAAGGATATGTTTGGTAAAGTGGAGGGTAGGAGAAAAAGAGGAAGACCCCCAATGAGATGGATTGCCACCTTTGCAGCAGCAAAGGGCTAGAGTGTAGCAATGATTGTGAATTTGGTGCAGGAATGGGCAGTGTTTCATTTTATTGTGCATAGGTTTGCTATGAGTTGGTACTGACTCGATGGCACTTAGCAACAATGAGTCGTAACCAATTCCATAGCACTTAACAACAGCAGGGTTCAAGGGCCAGACTGTGTGAGCTTCCTTTGCTAAGTATAGAAAGAAAAGAAGCTCAAAGAAAAAAATGACTTTGAACACATCACAGATCAGTTTTCATCACTGAAAGCAAAGAAGGCGCAGTTATAATTTTCATGCAGTGCCATAAGGTGGTAAATACAAGATTAATGAAGTTGACTTTTATTTTTGAATTGATATTATAATGAAATTATCCTAAAGATGGTACTTAAATGAGATGTTTAAGCTAGGGTGCAATTTCAGTACTTACCACAGATGCTATTTTTCATAGATATGCCTCTGGCAATAAATTTGTTGTTGTTGTTGTTAAGTGCCATCGAGTAGGTTCTGATTCACAGTGATCCTGTGGGTTTGAACTGCCAACCTTATGGTTGGCTGTCCAGTACTTATCCTACAGTGCCACACCAATTCATTTATCAACTGGTGTCAAGTCAGTTTCACCTCATGATCCATGTTTGTCAGAGTAGAACTATGCTCCCAAGTATTTTCAGTGGCTGATTTTTATTCAGAAATAGGTCACCAGGCTTTTCTTCCACAGCGACTCTAATTGGGCTCGAGCTTCCAAACTTTCAGTTAGCAGCAGAGTGCATTAACCATTTATACTACCCAGGGACCAAATTAAGTATAAAGAAGTAAAGAATTGAAAATTGCACACATAACATGAGAACCGATTTCTCAGAAAACCATTGTTTTTCTGTTAAAAAGACATAAAGACAAAAAAGTTCCAAGATAATAAGCTGACTACAAATCACTTGGTTCAAAAGTTCCTACAGTACAAAACATTCTGGGGGAACTCAGCCCAAGTTAATGTTCACAGTGAAAAGGAAACAAATCTAAACTTGGTTGTGCTTTGTTTCATCAAATGACAGAACTGCTCAGCTTTCAGATCAAGCAAAAAATTAGGGAAGTTGTACAATTACCACAAACCAGTAAATTTCTAGCTATGCATGGGAACAAATGACTTGACCTGCCATTTTTAAAGGACAGTGAGAATTTGTCGTCTCCAAAAGTGAACTAAAAGGCACACTTGCAAATCAGGAACATACCAAGTGTTCGCAGCAAAACAAACTGCATTCCCAGTGCAAAAGGTCTCTCCTCATCTTCTACAGACCTGTGGAAAAAGAGGACAAAAAAATGTTTTTTTAAGTAATTGCTCCAAGAAAATGAAGGCCAAATCAAACTGGCCAAAGAGATGTTGTGCCAAACTATTTAATTTGCTAAAACTTATTTATCACCAAGCAAAACTGCTGATGGCTTAGTCACTGAATTAAAGCCTCCCCAAGGAAGACATTGGAGAAAATCTGATGAACTCTATTTGTTTCTGTGTTAGGAGTGGAGGATGGTCAATGATAACACAAGGCTGATTGCTGAAGAGGCTGAAGTGACTCTAACTGAGCTTCCAAAATCAGTTCTATTTAAAAAGTAATGATCCATATAATCTTATCCTAACATACTCTGTCTTAGTCTCCTGAATTTTCCTGAATGGCAAAGATGCACTCTGGAATTACTCCCATAATTCCTCAAAGGAAAATATAGGGAAAAGATACACAGGAAAATGTAATATAGCTATGGATTACAAAGAATAGGTATTCCAGAACACTGAATTGTGGTCATGAGGAACCTGTACAGAGAACAACAGGCAGTCGTTTGAACAGAATGAGGGGAAACGGAGTAGTTTAAAATCAGGAAAGGTGTACGCCAGTGTTGTACCATTTTACAATACTTATTCAATCTGTTGTCACGTGGTGTTGAGTCTCATAGTGACTTTGTATAGAGTTTCCAAGGAGTAGATGATTCACAGTCTAGTGCTGATCCTACAGTGCCACAAAAGGAATCTGTATGCTGAACAAATAATCAAACAAAATGGATTATATGAAGAAGAACATGGCATCAGGATTGGAGGAAGACTCATTAACAACCTACGATATGCAGGTGATACAATTTTGCTTGCTGAAAGCAAAAAGGACTTAAAATACTTAGTTATGAAGATCAAACACCATAGTCTTCAGTATGGGTTGCACCTCAGTGTAAAGAAAACAAAAATCCTCACAAGTGGACCAATAAATGACATCATGATAAATGAAGAAAAGACTGAAGTTGTCAAAGACTTCATTTTGCTTGGATCCACAATCAATAGTAACCAAAAATCAAATGATGGATTGCACTGGGCAAATCTGTTGCACAAAACCTCTTTAAAATGTTCAAGAGCAAAGATATTAGTGTGAGGATTAAGGTGCACCAGATCCTAGCCATGGTATTGTTCAATAGACTTCGATGCATGTGAAAGTTGGACAATGAATAAGATAGACTATAGAAGAACTGATGCATTTCATTTATGGTGTTGGAGAAGAATTTTTAAAGTACGATGGACTTCCAAAATAACAAACAAATCTGTGTTGGAAGAAGTACAGCTAGAATGCTTCTAAGAAGCCATGATAGTGGGACTTTGCCTCTCATACTTCAACATGGTATCAGGAAGGACCAGTCCCTAGAGAAGGGCATCATGCTTGGTGTAGTAGAGAGTCAACAAAAAAAGAGAAATAACCCCAACGAGATGGATTGGCTCACACGTAACAATTGTGAGAATGGTACAGGACCAGGCACTGGTCACTATCAGTTGGAGCTGACTTAAAGACCTCAACAGCAACATCATACGTACTAAGAAAAACAAAACAAAGCATAAAGGAAACAAAAGTCAGATAAAGAATTATTCTCTACCAGCCACCTCACTTTTCTTCTCCTAAAATGTATGCTCCAAGTAATTTCAGTATCACATAAAAATGTGCAGTGTTCTGACTTTATAGTTAGGATTTTTTCCTGAATTTTTTATTTAGATGCTAATTTTTTTATTTAGATGGTGCTTTTGTAATGTCTGAACACTATAAAATGAGTAGCCCTTTTACGAGGTTTTTTTTTTTTAGCCATCTCTTATAAAGTTCAAATAATTAAATAATTTCAGTGAATCATTTTAAGGTACATGTACATCTTTTTTAATGACGAGGTACTTTATCCTTTCTAGGTACATGATATAAAATCCCTGTGTTCCAGTCTCTTGTTCTCCTTTCCTAATGTCTTTGCTTCACATAGCAGTTTGTATACTGCTAGAAAGTGCAGCCAGAGCACTCGGATGTCAGGATGGTCAAACTTCATCTCTCATACTTCGGACATACTGTCAGTAGGGACCAGTCACTGGAGAAGGATATCATGTTTGGTAAGGTGGAGGGTCAGAGAAAAAGAGGAAGACCCCCAGTGAGATGGATTGGCAAAGTGGCAGCATCAATGGGCTCAAGCGTGGCAACAATTGTGAGGTTGACCCAGGACCAGGCAGTGTTTCATAAGGTCACCATGAGTCAGTGCTGACTTGATGGCACCTAACAACAACAATGATGCTGTAGGGTAAGCACTGGACCACAACGTTGGCAGTTTAAGCTTACCAGACACTCCTTAGAAACCCTATACAGAGCTGCTATGAGTTGGAACCAACTCAATGGCACTTAACAACAACAACAACATAGCTGCTATTCTGCAAACATCTGTTGATTGAGGAATTGAACTGGTAAACTTTCATGTGCTGTTATCTTAATATCAAGAAAGGCTTTGCTTGGAAATGTCTAACTTGGCACCCAATAGAAGAGAGGACAAAATGTGTACCATACAAGCTGTCCAGCAGTGGTTGCTAAAGCAGTGATGTTTCTGACCCACTTCCTGCCAGGTGCCAGCACTGTGGGATTCTAAGAAGCCACGGAGCAGATAAGAAGGAAGAACAAGAATTGACTCTGTTTCCTTCCTCCCTCAGTGCACTGTGCTCCTGGCCCCACTGAACTGCCATGGATGTGCTCGGCCTTCCTTTCTGTGACACAGTCTTTACTGTAAATACTACCACACTGATTCTGTTTTCACTCGCAAGATGCTAATGCCAACATTTTTAGTAGGCTCCAAGTACAATCTATGTCTTCTTATAAAACAAAAAGCACACAAAATAGGGTATGTAACAAACATGACAAACAATCCATGCCACAAACAACGGAAAAAAATGTATTTCCCAGTCTACTCTTTCCTTGAGTCACTTCCAAACATTGAAATGATAGTATCATTAATGCAGTCAGCATTTTGAACTGCAGACCCAGAATACAGTGTCATTGATCCTGGGGCTGTTCACTAACTACACACTGGAGGTAAAGTCCTTTTCTGTACACACAACTTAGCAGCCCCCTCTGGGGTCAGACTTATTCTAATTAACTTCTAGTTTTCAGCTCTTGAAGTTGAACATTTTAAGGTTGACTTCAGAAACCAAAGGCATTCAGATGAGTTTCAACTAAACAACAGGACCAGGACTCAACTTAATAAAGAAAGTTCTGGAGAATGAAATGTTAGAAACTTTCTTTCCTTTTCTGAGTTGGAAAAAAACCTCAATACCAGGCAAATATCTCAACAATCTTTTCATTGTTTTTCTCATTGCTTTATCACATCAGTTCCTATTCCCAGAATATGCCTTCTACCAACTCTAAATCCATAGACTCCACCCTTTAAGTGGAATAGTTTTTCTCACCTGAGTGTTACTATGATGGCTGATGGTTGGGCACAGGCTGTGATGAAGGTGACTATGAAAAGGAAAATTAAGAATGGGATAAGGGTATTACAGGCCCGTTTACACTTCCCAGACACAGCATAGCCATTCTCGTTGAGATAGGTTTTCACAATCACCACACGAAGCTGACTGCGCTGACCCACTGTGGGTGGAGTGATCACCTGTCGGCTCTGGACACAGGTGCATTCCGTGTAATTCCGTATCTGAGAGGACAAAATAAAGATCAGTTGGATTCTAATCACAAGCAAAATGGGACACAGGAATAGGAAGACAAATGAATAAAAATGTAAAATAATTTCAGTAATTAAAAGATGCAAAACATGTCTTTGAAATTGTCTTCCTCATTGAAAATCATAAGGATCCAATACCAAAATCTACTCATTAAAAATCTGTGAACCAAAACTTTTCTAAGAAGCTTTCAGAATTGAATTCTATAACATTTACATCTGTACTGCCATTTTGGACTTTCCAAGTAGACAGGTGACTCAAGAAGAGGAAACATATCTTATTTTTATTTGCACTTACCAGCACACCTAGCACAATCCTGAGAACAGAGTGGGCCCTTCTGTACGTGTGTGAGAGGCATGTAGGAACTGTGAAACCATCATGCTGAACCAAATGAGTCAGTCACAAAAGGATAAATGCTGTACGATTCCACTAACATGAAATAGCTAGACTATGTAAATATATCCATACCTAAATTTACTGGCTGCCATGAGTGGGTAGAAGGAGGTGAAGAAGGGGGACTTGTTGTTTAGGGGACATTGAGCTTTAGAAGCAGATAACGGTGATGGTCGCACAACAAGAAGCCACCAAATTGTGCATGGAAGGAATGTTGGTATGGCAAATGTTTCAATACATGTATACAACAAATAATTAAACAAACAAACCAAAATGTAGAAGATTCCTAACATAACCATAGTGACTTCAGCACCAAGAGTACAAAACAAAGCTCTTATTGGCTGCCTATTTTAAACACCTATTTAGTTCCTTTGATTAGCTATGCCCTGTCCATGGATGGAAGTTAAATAAGGCTCCCATGCTCCTGGACTCTGACAAAGACAGGCTGTCTGGAAGCACCAATGAGCCCAAATTCAATTGGTCAATTTTCTGCAAAAACATAAGCATGTTCAAGTGTTGTTCTCATGTGCTGAGGGTATAGAAGAACAAAAGAAAATCTGTGAACTGCCCAAATTTCTACTTAAAGTCAATGCAAAAGTCAAAAAATAAAACACTACTGAGTGTTACTTACACAGCACCAAAACAATTTGATAAAAGTTAATTAAATCAGCCAACCAACCTTCCTGACCAGTGGGTTGCTTTTTACTGAATGGACATCAACTGAACTTCCCGGCCACAGCGATCATCCAATCCCTTAGAGCAGTAGTCTGAAGGTAAGTGCTTTGGGGCCTCCTCACATAAAGCACTGCTGGCCTTTGAGGGCCTAGTTACTATCTACCACAAACAACCGATCTCATGCCTCTTTCAACATGGTATAGGATGGAGAGCGACCAACAGGAGTTCTCTTTCTATCACTGTAATTTAAGACTCAGAAATCAAATTTGATATCCCCAAACACATGATTAATGGTATAATCCCTCATCACTTGGACAAAAAGCAAATTCATTTTAACATTTTCATTAACACATTCTCCTACAGTCTGTTTTTATGCAAAGAGCCAGACTATGCTCAATAAAGATCTGCGATAAAATGAAAACCTTTTCCCACAGTATTACAGCCTATTTATAATTTACGGGGAAAGAAATTCTCAAAATAGCCCATTCTTGAAGGGACAGAAACGCCTTTACTCTGTCTAGAGTAAAACTAGAGGGCTGGGGTGGGAGTATGAACTGACAGTCTATGAAAAATAACCTCTATCCATCTTCACAGAAACCCATCTCAGGAGGTGCTCTCCTGTCTTTTCTATCAGAAACACATGTAGTGTCCATCTTGACCTTCAAATCCATCACACGGGCCCTGTCAGAGTAACAAACGAGAAGCCCAGTGCTCAACCTTATCAAGTTTCACTGACTTGGCACAGAACGGAAAACAGGAGAGAGCTGATATGGAACCAAACCATTAAACGCAAATGTTCTATTGTCTTTGGAATAAAAATGAAAGTATTGCATGATTTTCTTTCCTCTAGGTCTTGTCAGATGGTATTTTGTAGGTTATTTGAAAATAAAGACTGACGTCATCATGGTAGCATATGAATTTCCACATGGCCTTGTCACAGGTTGTTGGATTGATGTGAGAACATGAACTTGTGAAATATACTCACCCCGGTGCTAAGATTACCACTGTTAACACAGCCAGCCAAACAAGGGTTAAAGTATGTAATTCCATCTGATCCACAGACTGGCTCATACTCATGTATTTTACAACCACAATTAACATTGCAACTTCCTGTCAGATTCCTATGGGACATGGTGAGTGAAGGTCTAAGAGAGAAAAGAAGTAGGTCATAAGAAACACACATTACAAAAGAACCAATAGGACAGATCTTAGTTCTGATAATTCGTAATTTGTCTACTTTAGAAAAGATATTACCATTATATCAAAGTGAAGGTACCATAAAACAGCCATTATAGAAAATTTTCTTTGTGTCTTTAACACAAAACAAGGACTCTTGGTGTGGCACTTTAGGATCAGTACTGGTGTGTGAACCATAAGGTTGGCAGTTCAGACCCATGAGCAGCTCCTCAGAAACCCTATACAGGGTCACAATGAGTCAGAACCAACTCAATGGTGCTTAACAACAACAACAACAAAACACAACAAAGAATAATACTTCATTTTTTCAATATGTTCTTATCAAATAATCTGTTGCTTCAGTTCTACCCTTAGCAGTTAAGGCCATGAGTCAGGCATAGCACATTTTAATAAAGGGTAGGACTGTGTGAGTCTCTTTCCTCTTTGTGAAGCCAGAGGAAGACAGACATGGCCTCTATGCCATTTTTGTAGCCACTGAAAACCTAAAGAATAGCATCAGAACATTGTCAGATATAGTGCCAGAAGATGAGTCCCTTAGGTTGGAAGGCACTCAAAATATAACTGTATTTTGGACTGTTGCCTCCTCAAAGTAGAGTTAAGCTAATGATGTGAATGAAGCAAAGCTTTTGGGACCTTCATTTGCTGATGGGGAACAACTCAAAGTGTGAAGAAATGACTCTAAACATCCATTAATAATCAGAACGTGGAGTGTACAAAGGATGAATCTAGGAAAATTGGAAGTGGTCAAAAATGAAAGGGTAAGGATAAAGATCAATAGTATAGACATTATGAGCTGAAACAGACTGGCAGTCAAGATGCATTGATAATTACTGGTGATTGAAATAAGAAAGTTGGAAACAAAGGAGAAGAGTAGTAGTTGGAAAATATGGTCTTAATGATAGAAATGATGCTGTAGATCGAATGATAAAAATTTTCAAGATCAACAATTTATTCATTGTAAATATCTTTTTTCAATACCCTAAAAGGTGACTGTACATGTGAACCTCACCAGATAAAATATACAAGAATCAAACTGACTATATCAAATGGAAGAAACAATGGAGAAACTCAGTATCATCAACCATAACAAAGCCACGGCAGATTGTGGAATGGAACACTAATTACTCATACACAAGTTCAGGTTGAAGTTGAAGAAAATTAAAACAAGCCCATAAGAGCTAAAATATGACCTGGAGTATATGCTACCAGAATTTAGAGACCATCACAAGAGCAGATTTGATGACCACAAACCAGAAGAGCTGTGGGATGACATCAAGAACATCAAACATGATGAAAACCAAAAGTCATTATAGACAGGAAAGAAAGAAAAGTCCAAAATGGATATCAGAAGACACTCTGTAACTTGTTCTTGAGCACAGAGAAGCTAAAGCAATTGGACGAAATGAAGAAGAGGGTTGAACAGAAAATGTCAAAGGATAGCTGGAGAAGATAAAGTAAAATATTATAATGAAATATGCAATGATCTCAAATTAGAAAACAAAAAGGGAAGAATATGCTCAACATTTCTTAAGCTGAAAGAACTGAAGAAAATAATCAAGCCTTGAGTTACAATATTAAAAGAATCATCACTATGGGTCAGTACCGACTTGATGGCACCTAACAACAACGACAACAATGGGCAAAATATTGAATGATGCAAGAAGCATCAAAAGAAAATTAAAGAAATGCACAGTCACTATACCAAAAAGAATTGGTTGATGCTCAATCATTACAAGAGGTATTATGATTTAAAAACACTGATGGACAAAGTTCAAGTTTCTTGAATTTATTAATTAAAATATTTTGGCAAACTGATGCAGCACTGGAGGCACTCACTCATCTATGCCAAGAAATTTGGAAGATAGCAATCTGGCCAACCAATTGGAAGAGATCCATATTTGTGCCCATTCCAAAGAGAGATGACTCAACAGAATGCAAAAATCATTGAACAATATCATTAATATCACATGCAAATAAAAGTAGGCTGAAAATAATTTTTAAATGGATGTAGTAATATACGGATAGGGAGATATCAGAAATTCAAGCTGATTCAGAAGAGGATGTGGAACAAGGGATATCATTGATGACAATAGGTGGACCTTGGCTAAAGCCTGAGAATACCAGAAAGATGTTTACCTGTGCTTTATTGACTTTTCAAAGGCATTCAACTGAGTATATCATAACAAACTATGGATAACACTGTGAAGCATGAGTATTCCAAAACACTTAATTGTGCTCATGAAGAACCTGTACATAGATCAAGAGGCAGTTGTTTGAACAGAATAAGCAGATACTAAATGGTTTAAAATCAGAAAGGTGCACCAGGGTTGTATCCTTTCACCATATGCATTTAGTCTGTATGCTGAGCAAACAATCCCAGAAGCTGGATTATATGAGAAAGAATGTGGCATCAGGATTGGAGGAAAACTCATTAATAACCAGCAATCTATAGATGACATAACCTTGCTTGCTGGAAGCTAAGAGGACTTAAAATACTTACTGAAGAAAATCAAAGACTACAACCTTTAGTATGGTTTGCAACTCAATGTTAAGAAGACAAAAATCCTCACAACTGGGCCAATAAATAGCATTATAATAAATGGAGAAAAAAACTGAAGTTGTTAAAGACTTCATTTTGCCTGAATCCATAATCAGTGCTCCAGGAAGCAGCAGTCAAGAATTCAAAAGACATATTGCATTAAGCAATTCTGCTGCAAAAGACCTTTTTAAAGTGTTAAAAAAAACAAAGATGTCACTTTGATGTGCCAGGATTTATCTTTAATGACTAGAGTGAGTACCTTCTTCCAGTAGCATAGCACCTTCCAACCATGCACACTAATCTGTAAACATAAAGGGTTGTTGTTCAAAGGTTTTTCTCCAGTAGCCCATTTCAACTTAGACAACTGAGTGCTCAAAATTTAATGGGAAGAAAAAATCCATAGCAATATTAAAAGCTTATCAAGAAAGTTCTTTAGAAATGTAGAAATAAAATAAATTCTGTTCTTTAATCATGTTACTCCACAGAAGAAAATATATCACAAACCTGTGATAACCATTAAGTTCAAACTCTCAGAAAAATACCATTTTAAAATTAAAATATATCTTTAAATAATGATTCTAGATCAGTAGTTCTCAACAGGAACAATTTTGTCCCTCAGCAGGCATTGCCAGTGTTAGAAGACAGGGGTGGCTATCACAATTTAGAGGGAGCTCAGCAGCTTTCCTTGGAAACCTTGTACAGGGTTGCTATGAGTCAAAACCAACTCAATGGCAGTCAAGTCACTGGCATCTAGTGGGTGCTGCTAAATATTCTACAATGCACAGGGTAGCCCCCACAACAAAGAACTATCTGATGCAAATGCCAACAGGGCCAAGACCGAGAAACCTTATTCTAGATCAACTATCACATTCCACAGATGATGAAATGTAGTCCCAGTGGAGCCAAGAGATTTGCTATGAAGCTGATTGATGCTCTGCTAACTAGTATCGTTCATACAAAAAAGCATTCTGGTGTGCATTACAATTATCTTCACCAATACTTCAAGAACTACAATGTAATCCTATTTTAAATGAGGGGCTTAAATATTATACTAATATGACTAGTACTGTTGCTATTTAGAAATTACATTTCATATTAACAGTATGTTTTAAATCAGGATTGGAATAAGATCCATTAACAACCTGCAATATGCACATGATACAACCTAGCTTGCTGAAAGTGAAAAGGACTTTAAATATTTATTGGTGAAAATTAAAAAAGACCACTGCCTTCAATATGGATTATGCCTCAATGTAAAGAAAACAAAAAGCCTCACAGCTGGACCAATAAATAACATCATGATAAATGGAGAAACAATTGAAGTTGTCAAAGGCTTCATTTTGCTCAGATCCACTGTCAACACTTATGGAAGCAGCAGTCAAGAAATCAAATGGCATATTGCATTAGGCAAATCTGCTGCAAAGTCCTCTTTAAAGTGTTCAAGAGCAAAGGTATCAGTTTGAGAACTAAGGTGCACCTGATTCAAGCCATGGTATTTTTCAACTGCCTCATATGCCTGTGAAAATTGGACAATGAATAAGGAAAAGTATGGAAGAATTGATACATTTGAGTTATGGTGTTGGAGGAGAATATTAAAAGCACAATGTACTGCTAGAAGAGCAAACAAATCTATGTTCGAAGTACAGCCAGAATGCTCATCAGAAGCTAGGATGGTGAGCCTTATCTCGCATACTTCAGGTATGATATCAGAAAGGACCAGTCCCCAGAGAAGGACATCATGCTTGATTAAAGTGGATGGTCAGCAAAACTGAGGAAGACCCCCAACAAAGTAGATAGGTACAATGGCGGCAGCAATGGGCTTAAGCAACACGATTGTGAGGATGACGCAGGACCAAGCCGTGTTTCATACAGTTGTGCATACGGTCACTATGAATTGAAACCAGCTCAATGGTGCTTGATAACAATGATTTGCGTTCATTTATGACAGCCACAGATTCCATATGCCTCTCCTTAAAGGGTACCTCAATACAAAAGAAAATAATCTAAAGGGAATATCATCTGCCTCAAGACCCACTGATTACACTAAAATCAAAGTTTTCCTAAATTCAAGAAACCCAAGTATAGTCCTAAGTCACTCTAGGGTATTGTATGTTCCATTTTTACAAGATATCATGATGCCTGATACAAAGAAATGATAAAATGTGAAAGCTATAAGAAAATCAATTCAGGCAAGAAATATAAATAACAATGAAAGGAAGCAGATGTTCGTCAAAAAGTCATTGGGGGAAAGGTGATTGTGGCACCAAAAAAGATGCTGACATGGTTAATCTTTTACATTGGGCTGATGGGAAAAGAAGCCATTGTTTAGAAGAGCAATGTTTTGCTTGATCATCACTCTCCTTCCAGAAACAGACGGGATTAGAATAATGGTGTGAGTTTTAAAACCTT